AATAACGTCCAAGAATCAAATAACATCCAAGAATCAAATAACATCCAAGAATCAAATAACATCCAAGAATCAAATAATGTCTAAAAGTTGAATAATATCCAAGAGTTAAGCAATAATGTCCAAAAAACTAAAATTCGTAATTTAATTTCTTTTCTTCTCTTACCTATTGAAGCTGGGTCTCAATATCATTGAGAAGTTAGAAAAGTTCACACATACAAAAATAATACCAGAAAAGTGTTAGCATATTTTGGCTGTACCCAAAGAATAAATAGAAAGCACAAACACTCACCTGAACAAATTAAAAGAATAAGCGAAGCAAGACCCCCAATTAATCGGTTTCCATGTAAAGGAAAAATTACAATTAATATTGATTTTATGTATGCCAAGTAAGGATTAAAATTTCACAATTGATTTCTCACGAACAACCAACTCATCGTGAAAATAAATTATCTGAAAACGCTATTACGTGAATATCTGAAAATATAAATAGGAATTTTAGAAAAACTGAAATATATAAAAGGCTCTACGAAGAAAAACTTATTGACCCAAAAATACATACCTATAACCAAATTTACTATTGGGCTTTAAAATTCTCTGCCCAACAATATGTCATCTATTCATCTAATCAACTTCTTTCATTTTTAAACTTTTTAAAGCAAGAAGAATTAGTTAATGAAGGATTTAAAGTCATAGTATACATCAAAAATAATTTTGTACAGGCACTCAGATTCCTTACCCCTTTTAATAGTTTAATACAAAAAGCTGATATAAATGAAATTATCATCGATTCCACTTATAAAACAAGCAACCAAAAATTTGAATTATTTTCAGTAATAGTAAATTGTGATAGGTATGAAGTCCCACTCGCATACTTGTATATTAATACCTTTACGGCACCAAAAGATCTTCTTAAGGATCCTAAAAACAAAACTCATTCCCGATTACAAGTTCTTAGAGAGTTCTTTTTAAGATTAAGAAATGAGGATATTCTTCCTATATTCATTCTTATAGATAAAGATACAGGTCAAATAATAGCCGCACAAGAAGCATAGTCTGGCAAGACAAAAATTCAATTGTGCCTATGACACATTAAACATGCAATTAGTAAAAAACTAAAAGAAAAAAAAGTAAATCAACTCAGTATACAATGCAAAAAGCTAAAGAAGCGAATGAATTATTTGATTTTATTGATATATCTTGGGTCTCTAAAGAAGATCAAAATAATTTGTATTTAGAAGAAAATATTAATGAAATTTTAAATATAGTTCATAAACATTCTATTTTATATTCATTAATACCAATCAATAAAGAAAATTTCCTTACCACAGCTGACATTTATCGTGAAAGCATTATGGAAATATATAAGTATTGCAAAGATAGAAATTTTGTCTGTTTGTGGGGATATCTGTGGATTAACTGGTACAATAAAGCTGATTGGAATCTTTTTTTCTAGACTTCTTTTCCGAATGTGATTCCATTAGCAAGAACAACAATGCTAATAGAATCACATTGGCGAACTCTAAAATATAACTATAAATATACTTGCAATCACCTCCCGTTTAGATTGTCTAACCCAGATTCTGACAAAAAATTTAATTTCAGATCAAATAAATACTTGGCATCGCTATAATAATAATCGGGCTTTTTCTTCCTGATGGAATAAGTTTAAAGATGAATAGAAAAAAGCATTAACTAAAGAAATTAAATCAGAAAATGAATATCTAACAGATATCAATAATTGGATCTGTTCGTGTTCTGCATTTATAAATAGTGCTTATTTAGTATATAAACATCTCATTAAAGAATGTAAAGATAAAGATCCAGAATTTTTTCTCTAATACGTGACAACAACAAGAAGACATGATTACCTATTTATCTACTTTGGTAAAGCATCTACAAGTATTAACCCTGCAAATCATCCTTGGATTAAAATAAATAAAAATTTCTTAAATGAATTAGAGAATTTAATAGACAAATATAACTGT